CAGTGCCTACAGAGTGTCCAGGCTGTAGAACAAGGAAAGTGTATCCAACAGAGCCCAGAAATGCCTCTGAGTTGAGGAAACAGTTGGAAATTTGGAGGAGTGAAGGTTGCTGGATTCCACAGGAGCAAGTACCTGAGAGGATGAAGTGGCACAGGGAGGGAGAGGATTCTGGAGATCTGGATACTGGCTTCCTGCTCTGAGCACATACTGAGTTGCAGATGGGAAGGGACTGCAAAGCTCAGGAAAGAACCAGAGGAAAGGAGCAAGCTGAACAAATAAGAAAAAGGAGAACCTGGAACCAAAGAAGCTCCAGGAACCACATACTCAAGAGTCCTTTAGCAAGATTGACAGCAAAAGGAACAAGGACAAGGTGAAGAATCTGTAGGGTCAGAACATTGGGCACTGGAACCTAAGGATTTTGTGTCTTCCCTTTTCCTGCCTGTGTGCAGCTATATCTAGGCACAGAGAAGGAAACTGGAGAACTAGACAAGCACCCTAACACCCTCAGAGCTAGACACTCTGGAGCTAGTTCTTATTCTAGAGAATCACAAAGGGAGAAGAACCAGGACAAATCTTGAAATTTTGCATATGGCAGGCAATGAAGTAAGAGAGTGTAAACCCAACTAGATAGTGGAGAAACTTACATGGTAGTGGGGGGTGGGGGGGTAGGGAGCCTACTGTTGGTGGCTGTATCTAAAACAAAGGAAGAAGCATCCCTGACAAACTTCACAGGGACTTCAATGCCTCCCTGACCACAAAACAAGGATCAACACTGAACTTTTAAATCGTGCCTGATCCTTGACTTGTAGTCCTTGGTGGGGCCAAGATGTTAGGGCATGTCCACACACTTAACACTGTTTGTTCTGAAGGCAAGAAGAACAACAGAAAACTCTAACCAAGGACATTCCCTGGAGACTCTAAGAGAAGAAGCAGATCAACTGTAAGGAATTAATGGAATCTAGCAACTGTCTGAAGGTACGTCGTGCTCCTGAATCCTTATGCTTTTTCTCTTCTAGGCCCTCTGATTTACTTAATTTCTATGCGCTTCATATATATGGCTTATTTGTGAGTCTACAAGCAGCATGTTAGTGGGGGCATTTCTGTGCATGTTGTAAACATTTTTACTGTAGGCCGTCTGTAATCCATTATCTTGTCGTGACAAGACATCTTTTAAATTTTGGTAAATGTTTTCAAATAGTCATTAACTATTTACATTCTCCACAATAATATAGCAAAATGCTTGTTTCCCCTTATTTTAAAAACAGACAATATAAAGAAATTTTAAATTATTTATTGCATATGTTGAAAAAAATATCAGTTAGTATTAAAATTTCCCTTCATCATTATCATTCCTGAGCTTGGAAATCTCTGCATATGTACAATGTGTGTTTATCTCTACAGTTAAATTTTATGTCTTGTCTTTTACCAGTTTTTTTTTTTCTTTTTTCATATTGATTTTTTAGAAATACTAATGTATTTCTTATTTTTTCTACTATTTATTGCATTAGTGGCTCCTTCTTAGTCCTAACTGCCTGTCAGTTTGTCATACTGTGGTGGTTTTCATGTTGCTGTAAGGCTGGAACCTATTCCACTGGTATTCAAATACCGGCAGGGTCACCTATGGAAGACAGGTTTCAGTGGAGCTTCCAGACTAAGACTGGGAAAAAGGATGGGGCCACCCACTTCTCAAAACATTGGTCACTGGAAACCTTATTAATACCAGTGAGACACTGTCTGGTATGTTACTGAAAACTTTAAGAACAGCAGTGAAACATTGTCAGGTGTAGTGCTGGAAGAGGAGCTCCTCAGGTTGAAGGCACTCAGAATACAAGTGGGGAATAGCTGCCTCATCAAAGTAGAATCAACCCTAATGATGGGCATGGAATAAAGCTTTAAGGTCCTTCATTTGCTGGTGGGGCATGACTCAAAAAGGGAAAAAAGGCCTGTAAATGTTCATTAGTAATCAGAACATGGAATGTATGAAGATGAACTAGGAAAATTGAAAATTGTCAAAAATGAAATAGAACTCAAATAGATCGATATCCTTAGGCATTAATGAGCTGAAAGGGACTGCTATTGACCATTTTGAATCAGGCAATCATGTGCTGTATTATGCTATGATTAACAAATTAAATAAGAATGTCATCACATTCATCATCAAAAAGATCATTTCAAGATCTACCCTGAAGTACAGTGTTGTGAGTGACAGGATTATATCCATATGCCTACAAGAAGACCAGTTAATACTGCTCTTCAAAGTTGTACACCAAGTACTAAAGCCAAAGATGAAGAAATTGAAGATTTTTAGCAATTCCTTCCATTTGAAATTGACCAAACATACCATCCACATGTATTGATAATTACTGGTGGTTGGAATGTGACAGTTGGAAGCAATGAAGAAGCCTGGGCAGTTGGAAAATATGGCCTCAGTGATAGGAATGATGCCAGAGATCTCATGATAGAATTTTGCAAGACAAACTACTTACTCATTGCAAGTACCTTTTTTCAACAACATAAATGGCAGCTATACACATGGACCTTCTTCAGATGCACATGGACTACATAGATGGACTACATCTGTGGAAAGAGGCAACGGAGAAGCTAAATATCATCAGTCAAAACAAGACCAGGAACTGACTGTGGAACAGACAATCAATTGCTCCTATGCAAGTTCAAGATGAAGCTGAAGAGAATTGAAACAAGTCCACAAGAGCCAGAACAAGACCTTGATTACATCCCATCTGAATTTACAGATCATCTGAAGAATAGATTTGAACCATTGAACACCTATGGCTGAAGACTGTAAGAGATGTGGTATGACATCAAAAACATCATACAGGAAGAAAGCTAACCCCATTCATTTAAAAAAAAAATGGATGTCAGAAGAGACTCTGAAACTTGCTACAGGAAGTAGCTAAAGCAAAAGGAAGAAATGATGTAATAAAAGAGTTGAACAGGAGATTTCAAAGGGCAGTTCAAGAAGACTAAGAATAATAAAATGTGCAAAGAGTTAGAAAACGCAAATGGAAGAACATGCTCAGTATATGTCAAGCTGAAAGAACTGAAGAAAAACTTCAAGACTCAAATTGCAGTATTGAAGAATTCTATGGGTAAAATATTGAATGATGCAGGAAGCATCAAAAGAAGAGGGAAAGAATACACAGTCACTGTATCAAAAAGAATTGGTTCAACATTCAAACATTTTAGGAGGTAGAATAAGATAAAGAAACAATGGTACTGAAGAAGTCTAAGCTGAATTTGTTTCAACAAAAGGATGCAGTGTTGGAGGTGCTTATTGGTTTATGCCAAGAAGTTTGGAAAACAGCTACATGGCCAACTTACTGGAAGAGATCCATATTTGTGCCCATTCCAAAGAAGGTAATACAACAGAATGTGGAAATTATTGAACAATATTATTATTAGATGCAAGGAAAATTTTGCTGAAGATAATTCAAAAATGGTTGCAGCAATTTAATGACAGGAAACTTCTAGAAATTTAAGCTGGATTAAGAAGAGGATATGTAATGGGAGATATCATTGCTGAGTCAGATGGCTCTTGGCTGAAGGCAAAGAATAGCAGAAACTTGTGGTAGTAGGTTGTGTGTCAACTTGGCTGGGCCATGGTTTTGAGTGGCTGGGAAGCCTGATGTAGTTATTCCCCAGGATAAATTTGGTAATGAATTCCATGGTGGAATCTACAGTGAGCAGCTAACCAGCTGCCTTCGGGTTGTGGCCTGCATCCAGTATATAAGTAGGAGTTTTGAGAAACGTCTTGAACTTTTGGCACATCTGGATCTTGCTTTTGCCCAAGTCTTCATCTCAGTGGCCTGCCATATTGCCTATACATCTTGGGACTGTTTCTGGAGTTGAACTAGTGGCCTATCACGTTGCTTACTAATCTTGAGACTGTGTCATTATACTTGTTTACCTTGGGTTTGTCAGCCTCAGCTGCCAGCAACTGCCTCAATTAATAGATGCCTCCACCTCCAGTGGGATGGGAGCAAGAGGCAGAGCCAAAGCCCAAGGTCAAGGGGCCTTCACCCATCACCTGAAGCTTGCACTTTGAACTCAGATTTCTGGCCTCCTAAACTTTAAGATCTCTGTTTTTTAAAGTCATCCACTTGTGATATTTCAGTTACAGAAGCATGCTAGAATTAATACAGATATTTACCATGTTTTATTGACTAGGAAAAGGCATTTGATTGTGTCAATCATAACAAATTATCAATAACATTGCAAAGAATGAGAATTCCATTACATTTAATTGTCTTCATGAGAAATCTGTACACAGACCAAGAAGCAGTCATTTGAACAGAACAAGGGGATACTGGATGGTTTAAAATCAGGAAGAATGTGCCTCAGGATTGCATCCTTTTACTTATTCAATCCTGTCAGAATCAGGATTGGAGGAAGACTAACAACCTGTGATATGCAAATGACACAGCCTTCTTTGCTGAACATGAAGATGGCTTGAAGCACTTACTGGTAAAGATCAAAGATGACTGTCTTCAGTGTGCAATGATGGGTATACTGAATACTTGCATAGCAAGTATTATGAGGATAGCACAGCACTGGGCAGTGTTTCATTCTGTTGTATACAGGGCCACAATGAGTAGGAGCCAACTCGATAGCACCTAATGACTTCCTTATCATTTTCATATATGTTCTATTTGGATATGATAATATATCTTAGGTCTTTCCTTTATACTGTTTGGGAATTCAGACTGTATTAGAGGTGCCAGAGAGACCCTGAAAGTAACTAATTTGAGGTTTGTTTTTCCACAGCAGCCTACCAGACTAGCAGTTGTCCACACAACTAAGAAGAGATCTGTCCCAGTCTCTGTTCTCACAATTGAGCCACCATCAAGTCATCTGACAGGAGAGGCTTTTGCACTACACCATCTCTCATCAAAAGTCCTGCAGTGAGTTACTTCCTCTCACCTCATGGCCCAGCCAAAGGACATAAAGAATTTGCTGAATCCCTTTATTCTTCTCTCAAGAGCTCTACCCTCATTGCCAAGACAACCAACGGGGATGCTTGTTCCTATGATGTTCCCCAGTCTCTTACCAAGACACATACTCTAGGCAACATCTTCCATTCTCAAGCACAAGCCAAGGGTCCTAATGTAGACTCAAAGCCTAGCCCACAACCTGATACACATAGATTGGGCCAGAACTCCAAACACAGTATCCAGACACCAGGCAAAAGGTTGTGCCAGGTTCCCAACCAGCCTTTCAAGAATCTCCAGAAAAAGCCAAGACTTAGGCCCTTCCAGATTCCCCCAATGAACACTAATGTACCTTACCAGGGTGTTGTCCAGACTCTACAGCTTGCCCGCAGTACAAATAGACTTGGACTTAAAGAGGCACCCGAATTGCTCACTATGACACCTGTGCTGGCACCACACAACAGACCTCACCTGAGTCCCATTCAAGCCTGTGATGTCCATCTACCTCCACAGCTCATCCATGATCCAGACAATCTCCTTGGAAATGTCTTCACCAGATTGGAAAATGAACAGCAGAGCTCCAGTTTCAGAATAGCTGCTACCTCAGTCTCACCTAAGAAGCCTACACATCCTTGTCAGAGCCCTCATGTCCTCCAGGATTCTGAGCCACAGTGTCCCCATGACCCAGGCAATGTCCTTTATGAGGACCTTATGGTTTCCTCCTCTGAGGACAGTGACAGGGAGTGAGACCCTCCATGTCTGGGAAGACAGCTTCCAGCCTTACATGTTGTTCTGGTCACCTAGTGCTTCTCTGACAGTAATATACCACAAATGGGATAGCCTTAACAAAAAGGAGTTTATTCTCTTACAGTATGGAGACACTGAGGAACAAATAAGACAAACAGAACCAGAATATGCATTTTAATAATAATTCCAGATGATTCAGATACATATGAAAGTGTAATAACTATTGGAATCACCTGGTGAACATTAAATAATATTGATGTCTTGGTCTTATCACCAGACATTTCAAAAATGTGACAAAGCCCACGTGATGTTTTTCACCACAGATTAGTAAGGAAACACATGTAAGCCCATGCTTACCTTGCTTATTGGATCCTGGTAGTGGAGGATGCATTGGAAAAGTGCTGGACACTGAAGCCTCAGCCCCTGGCAGAGTTCCATGTATGGGGCCCACGTTGGGAAGGGAACTATGCTAGGATGTATAACTGGGCTAAGGAGATGAAAAATGGAGACCCCATTCTGAGCCTGAGACCCAGGAAAAGATGCTCATGGGACGTTTTCTCCTAGATTGCTTGGAAGGGTTTCTGGAAAGAAAGGTGCAGCAGGAGCCTCTCTCTGGCCACTCTATGACTCTGGAGATCTGGACTTTCCTCTTTCCCCTACTCAATCCTCAAGTGAGACTCTAGAATCATCACCAAGGGACCTCTCCAATCTAGACTCCAGCCCTTAGAGATCATTTAGACAGACACCCTCTTACACCTGCCTTTGGGCAACCTACTTCCCTGCAGCCCTTCCTCAGTCCAGCTTCCATCTCCTGTTCTCCTGTCCATGATCTTTGCCAGGAGTAGAATTAAGAGAGGTCCCGCTACAGGCAAAGAGAGAGAGTAGAGGTTTAATGAGGAAGACTTATGTACCATCCCCATGCCTTGTGGAAGAGGGATGCACCTGCCTCTTTCTCACTACTCCACTCTCAAAATTCCAGGTTCCCATCTTTGCCACCTGCTCCTGGAAGTATGCAGATGTAGATGAGCCTCGCTGAGGGGTGAATCCAGAGTCTGAGAGGCCACTCAGAAGGTCCGTTTGTGATTACATGGCTGGTCAGAAGCTCCCTGCTGGCTCACTGGCCTAGTACCCTGCTCTTTTGGAAGATCACCCATGGTTTCCTGTGGATTTCTCCATGGCTACAGTAAACTCTCTTTGAAGCTCTCTTGGTCCAACAGCTTGGTCCTTACTGCCCTGATTTGAACTGCTCAGATTATGGAAATTATGGTGACAGGTGCCCAGATGTGATCATCTGGAACCTTGTGTATAGAATCCCACCTATGTGCCCAACCTTGTGTGAGACCTGGGCCTCAATGAATTCAGACCTGGAGCACTTCTGCAGCAGTTACAAATGTCAGGACCAGGTAGTGGCAAATGGTGGAGGAGGAAATGGGAGGAAAGGGAGAAGGGCACCTGGAGCCCAAACATTCACTTGGCCCCAGGCAGCAGAGCCTAGATTTGTACCAGGAACCAGAGAGCCTCATCCCCAGGGAGATCTGGGGCTCTATGTTACCTCTTAGACAACAGTATTTAGCCTACGTACAAAAGGTGCAAAACAATAGGAGTTAGAGCAGGTCTATGAGGACTCCTGGGAGGTACAGGGTCAAGGAAGTCAGAAGGGGTGGTTGGATTTTGTAATTTTTAATAAAATCACATGATTTATTCCCAGAGTGTCCCAGCTGCATCATTCCAGATTCTTTATTCAAAGGAATTTCTTGATCCCCTTCATCTTATTCACAGAGAAAGCCACTTTCATTTTTTTTTTTCCACTTTCTTCTTTGTTTCATTTTACTTTTCCTGAAACCTTCTACCTATAGTGCAGCTCGTTCTCCACTAAACTTGCCCTCTTTTGTCTTAGCCATGGAATCTCCACATTTATCTCCTGGTAGTAGAGGTCATCCTAAATAAAAATCAACAAACTTGTGGCTGTCAAGTTAATTTTGATATATGGTGACGCTATGTGTTCCATACAGAGCTCTGGTGACTCAGTGTCTAAGGCATCTGAATGCTAACTAGAAGGATGGCAGTTGAAACACACCACCCACTCTTTGCAAAAAAGATGGAGCAGTTTACTTCAGTAAAGATTTACCACCTTGGAAACCCAGTGGGGGTTGCTATGAGTCAGAATCAACTGGGTGGCAGTGGGTTTGGTTTTGTGTTACATACTAGAGCTAGTGCATAGGTTTTCCTTGAGTGAAGCCTTTCAGGCTTTTTCCCATGTCACAGCTGGGTGGGTTTGAACCACCAACCTGAGGACACCCCAGTAACTGAACTGTCAGCCAAGCAATAGATAAGCCTATAAGGTGAACAATAACACCAGAGGTATGCAAACTCCTTAGAACAATAGGCCATGAGATCAAAGGAGCAGTTTTTGATCAGGAATAAAACTGAAAGGTGATGAATACTGAAATTACCAGGGACTGCCAGAAAAACTTGCAAATATGTGCTGGAAGAAGTGCAGCCAGGATGCTCCTTGGAAGTGAGAATGGCCAGACTTCATCTCACGTATTTTGGTCATGTTGTCAGAAGGGACCATTCTCTGGAGAGGGATTTCATGCTTGATGAAGTGGAGGGTCAGTGAAAAAAAGGGAAGATCCTCAAAGAGATGGATTGATACAGTAGCTACAATGAGGGGCTCGGGTATAGCAATGATTGTGTGAGGCTAACACAGGACCGGGCGGTGTTTCGTTCTTTTGTACATAGGGTTGCTATGAGTCAGAGCCAACTTGACGGCACCTAACAAAACCAATAATATTCAGAAGGAAGGAAGTGAGAGGAAAGAAGGACAAATGGAAATTGGAAACACAGGAAGCATGTGGGAAGAGTGATGTTACCCTGTACAGATTACAATCAGTGTTCATTAAAGAAAATGTGAATGAATCATTGAATGGAAAATCAATTTGCATGGTAAACTTTCATTCAAACCACAAAAAGTAAAAATAGATATCTGTAAAACCTCATTATTTTATGTATTGTGGTAAAAGATTTATAAAAAAATTAATACTTAAACAAGTATCATGTGTCCAACTCAGCATTGATTAATTTGTGCAAAATGTTGTGAAACTTTCACTACTCTTTATTTTGAAATTTTGTTCCATCACCCTTAACAGGAATTGGACACTCCTAAACAATAATTCCCCTTCTTCCATCACACCTCTCAGTAACCACTAATAAACTTTGGTCTCTGTGCATTTGCCTAATCTAGATATGCCATGTCAGTGGGATCATAGAATATTTCCTTCAGCATAAGGTTTTCAAGGTTCATTCATATCATGGCATGTATCAGACTGTCATTTCTCTTTATAGCTAAATCAAATCTTTTGGTTTTGGGATGATAATGAGTCATGTGTGTATACTAAAATCAAAACAATACTCACTGCCATTGTGTCAGTTCTGACTCAATAGTGACCTCCTTTGGGTTTCTGAGGTGACAAATCTTTACCGCAGTAGATTGCCCAGTCTTCCTTCCATGCAGTGGCTCATGGGTTTGAACTACCAAGCTTCTGGTTAGCAGTCAAATGTCATAGGCATTATGCCACCAAGGCTGCAATATTTCCTTGCGTCTCACATGGATTGGGGATCCAGGTTGAAATTGTTCTTATGTTCAGGATCTGGATCACTCAGAGGATGACCACAGTAGATGGGGCCCAGGATCACATAGGACATAGGTATGGAAATGATCATGGATGGCTTAGGGTCCAGGCCCCCATCCATGTACCTGAGGATCCTCCACACAGATCACATATGGGGTGACCCACACTACATCCTCAAGAGGAACACGGATAGGCCAAGCCTGAAACTGGTTTTCAGGAGGTAGGAGGTTGGCCAAGTCTGCAAAGAGAGGACCTGAGGGAAAGAAAGGCACGTTGAGAGCTCCTGAGGATATCACCAACCCTCTCCCTGAATCTTTGCTATCTCCCCTGGTCCAGAAACTATGTCCATTCTGAAAAAGGCAGGAACAAAACCCTTCAGGACTACTGGTAGGTGTTACTGAGGAATAAATAGGAGAGACAATCAGGGAACCGTTACAGTGGCAGGCCCTTTGTGCTGATGAGCAGGGGGAACCTAGGGGTCAGACCAACTGATACCACCAACTAAAGGACCATTAAGAGGAGTAAAGGAGAGACAAACCATTCCTCTTCAGATTGTCATTCCCAGCAAAGTAGATCATATGGTTGTCTGATTCAAAATGGCCCAAACCAGTCCATTTCAGCTCAT